AAAGATCAAAGGTAGATGGGGCCAGGGTCATGCTTGCCATGAGAATGCTGAGTAGAGCGTAGCTACCTACCTACATACAATATAATGTAGGACCGTTGTTATTAGAGTATCTAGCAAAATAAAAGTAACACCCGTACTGCACTCGAGATAACATAATCCAATGTCTGCATGCACAGTACAGTAGACCGCGAGATGAATCCGCAGGCAATCTGCTCCAAGCGCCTGAACAGAGCCTCAGCATATTATTAGAAATCCAACAAGGATTTTTTCTTCTTTTGTGCGGCGCCGCCTGGTCGCCCCAACATACATATGGCTATCATCCTTCCTTACTTGCCATTGACGATGGAAACGAGCTCATTCTCATTCTTCTCTTCTCCTCATCCCCATACGTGTACCCGAAGTCCGCCAGCGTAGTATAGTCTCAATCTTGTAACGCGCAATATGAGTTAGTAAATCCAAACCCCTTTGACTTGAACTCTGCAGCTACCCGTCGTACTGACCATGTGCACCTCGTCCAGCTACACGTTGGAGTCTTGATAAGTTCCCAACCTTCCCGTTGATTCAGACTGGAAGGCACAAGACAAACGCGGTGGTAAGTTATAAGCGATCAATGGTTCTGGGGGGCGCCTGAATTGATGCCCCATATAGATTGCGAATGGGTCCTCGGCGCCAGTAGTAGACGACACCAGCAGCGCCCTTCAAGCCACCACCACCACCACTACCACCACCACCCCCGAACCATTAAGCCCACTCCGATGTTTTCGGGAAGATTGTGGAAGCTATTTCACGGATGATGGTTTATACAGGTACGTTTCCCAATTAAGAGTTTAGAGAGCTAGCTCGGACCCGGCCTCTATTAGTAGCTACTAGCTACTACATCCATACATGTAGTTACATCTAGTAGTACTGGTAGTAGCATTAGTACTTTCGGTCAGATGTAGATGTGTTGACGTTTCCCCCATTGTCTGATCAGAGAACACACCAAGATTTGCCGTATCCCAACCAGACGCTACCACTGCGCATTCACCAAATGCGCCGAGAACTTCACCGCCTCCAGCATCGACGCCTTTATCCGGCACCAAGCGACGCACCGGATCTGGTACTGCGAAGTAGAAGTTTGCGCCTTCAGGAAACGCGAGAAAGCTCTGAAGCATGTGACAAAGCACCACAAGTCAGAAGAATCATTGAAGGTCACCTGGCTCCCGGTGCCGCCGAGGAATTTGAAGAAGGATGTAAGGACTTGCCTGAATATGGGTGTAAACCTTGACCTCGGCGACTTTTTGACCCAGTTTACCGGTGGAGGGGCGTTAGGTAGGCAGGCAAGTGCGCTGCTGAGTCCCCGTGATAATGGAGGTGTGGATATCAATGGTGTTGCAGAGTCTCTGCAAACAGCAGTATTGGCACATGTGCTTGGGCAATTGAACATGCTAGGGGATCTACTGGAGCATCAATCGCTCTCACCTAGTGCTGCTGAACACGCCCAGATAGTGCAATCTCTTGATAGGATACGTGATAGATTGGGCGCCAGAGAACAAAGGAACGGATTCCAGCTCGGCTGGAATGCAGGCTTTGGATTTCAAGCCGGTCCCGAATCGACTTCTTCTCGAGGCATCAACAGTCCGGGGATTCGATACGAGATTGGAACAATCTCGGTGGACCGTAGCGTTCCGGCTGCGCCCCAGATGTCCCCAACCAGTGAGATGGTGATAGGACGGGAGTTTCTTCCAAACATTGAAAGCGAGTCCGAGGATGATTCCGATGGAGATATCGAGGCAGAATCGAGTGCCGCGCCGACCATGGAACCCCAACAGGAAGCACACCTCGAAAAGGACCAGCAAATCAAGTATTTCGAACACTTACAGAAGTGTTGTATTGAGGCCGCATTCACGTTTTACAAACAACACAAGTCACACCTCGATACCATCAATGATAGGAGTTCAAAGCCGCTCTGTATAACCGCCAAACGCGAGGAAATCACAAGCCCCACCGATCTCAGTCTACCGCACTGGACACACCTTCTTCGGCGAATTAGTGATGCCCGAGGGTTGCAGAGGGACATGGTGTCGAGGATCGAGTCTTTTAATGGTGATATCTCACCTGTGGATGAGATACAGCATGCATTCAAGAAAGAGAAAGTAAAGTCAGACAGAGATCTTTTGGCGTTGATTCAATTGACGAGGAATTTTTGCTGGCAACTGAAGGACTGGGAGAGATGTAAGCTGTTGGACGATCTCTATGGGATAGTTGAGAAGGATATCAAAGACTTAAAGTCTATCAAGAGGAAGAGCTCACAGAGAGAAGGAAGGCCACAAAGGCCGGGGCTGTATAATCCAATGCGGTCATCACAAAACAACGACGGAATACGGAACGGCCATAGACCATCAGCAACGTGGCCACGGCTTCCGCCAGGTGAAGAGGTCGAAGCGTAGGCGTAAGTACTACGTGGAGGATAGTTTAAAGCGCTTGTCTTTGGGCGTTACTGGTACGGATTATTTGCTGATTATTATTTATTTCGTTAATATTCACTTTCGACATATTGCGTTTTCTCTTTCTTTGTCTAATATTGCTGGTTGGATCTAGAGAAGGGGGGGGAAGGGGGGTTGGAGTTAATTCGATCCTACGACTGATCTTCAATAGCTATTTGGCAAAAATCTGTTTTAGACTCTAGCTCGGTATTTGCTCTGTGGTGTTGATTGTGCCCGCTCGTTTTTTTTCTCTTTTTTTTTCTTTCTTTTTTTTGCCTTTTCAGAGTTCTGTACTCGATTGATTTCAGAGGGATTCAAGTCTTCTGTGACTACTGCATTTCTTATGTCAACTAGTACTACATCATTTTATACACGAGTTAACTTCATCGATCCAGAGTACACATATGTCTGTTGGGCTTTATGGAAAATACTAAGAGCTTTATGAAATGTATAAGCACGATCTTCATAGTCTTCTCAATGCTTCCCTTTAGGGTGACACCGAGGTCTTATAGTCGTGCACGTGGCTAGAAATAAGTCTGGCTAGCTAGCTAGACTGGAGGTCGAGCGTTTCAGCCTGAGATATATTTGCAACTTATTGTGGGCCCATTGCGCTAAGCTTTACTGAATGTTATAAATAGAGCAAGTAGTACGAGCAAATTGAAAGGGTACGGCGGAGGCGGAGAGACGTCAATGCTGGATCGGTTATATTAATGAAGGCGTTCGAATCTCAAGCCATATATATATGCTAGAGCTTACTCGATATTGTTGGTGACGTTTCTAGCTGCAAATCCCAATGCTTAAAAGTGGCTAATAGCGCAAATACATGTATGCAATATGTGTCTTCTTAAAATGACATCATGTATAACAACTTAGAGTACTTCATAAGCTACATGGGCGTACTCAATATTGTTGAGAGTATAACTTACACGTTTCCCCGGTATCACCGTGGCCGTATATACATGTATATATGGTATACCACATATTGTAGTACCTCATTTTAACTACATGCACATATGTAAATTGAGTTATAGGTTATAATTACATGTAGTACATGAACTTTAGATCAAACTACATACATTATACATGTATTTGAGCCGACAGTAAAGCTGTCCCGCTGTACTGGTGTTAGGACTTCAGTTCTAGTCAGCAATGCCCCTCTTCCCCATATCTTAGGACAATTAAGGGATATATAGAATCAGGTCACATCAGCAAAGCAGTTGTCTCTTCATCTTTGACAGTCAGCGCTCCAGCAGCTAGCAGCTTGTCAATAACCGACGTTCATCCTTTCATTATTCATGGATCGCCTTTGTACCAATGGGCCCAAAGACGTCCCTTGTCAGTTTTAAGCCGGTTTGTGCCATGGCCGGAAGGTCCGAGCTAGGTGTCAGGACTGCATACTTTAAGAAGGGCCTTGATAAAAGAAAGCCTAAGTTCCTAATCGCAGCACGCGTCGAGGAATCTATCTAGTTATGACTGTAAAATTATTTTTATGATAGCACCTTGCTGCTCATGGCGTTGGAGTTGGGCTAACTGAGATGCGGAATCGATACTTTGATCGAATAAGAACGTACAGAACCTTGAAATAGTAGAACAGAACAATATCCAAAAGCCCAGTCTAGGCTACCCCTTTCTCAGAACATGGATTCGAATGTAAACTGTACTGCCACTTATCTTTAGGCAAACGCGGCGCAGGGATGTAAAATTCCTCCCCTGACCTGCTGCATTGATGGATTAAGATCTGATATCTTGCTGGCTGTGTGACGGAAAGACGAATGTCTTCGGCTCACGGCGAGTAACCAACTCAATTGAACTTAACAGTATGCAGGGAATTATACAGTGAGACATTCATCAGGCGGGCCCGTTTCATGGATCATGGCCGACGATTCGTTGACCCTTTGATCGATTGGTCGATAGGCCGGAACTTATATTGCCTAGGCAGCTATATGTAACAGGTTGTAACACTTCCCCCATATATCAGTCGAAGAATGCGGCTGCCTTCTATCTTTTCTCTTTTATATACTCTAGTCCTTTATCAGCACCGTAGCTAAGCCTATTTAAGGTAATGTTTACAATATAGATCAGAGCAGTTCGCATTGAAGCTAACTCATTACACCTTGCGATGCAGTATCCGACAACCTGCGCACAAAATTAGGCACGGGGAAGAACAAAATTAATTCATCGATATGTCTATCATTTTTACACTAAAACGTGCACTTACGACCTCCTGCGGGCAGTGCTTACCTGCATACCAACGGCCAGCCTGCAATTGTATCAACCAGTACTACCCGCCTCTTCGTGTATAGAAGACTCGCCTGCGTATATATAGTGTGCTGCCTTATTTGAGGTTTTGATTCTTGGAAAATTAATTAGAGTTTAACTGTAGGCACGGTATAACTATATCAACATATACACTACGGCAGCAGCAATCGGTACGTAACTCAGTAAATATCACGCGATAATAGGAGGTTGAGGTATAAACAACTTGATGTTCTTCTTTACTATCCTGTACTAACCAGCCGGAAGCTATCTACAGGAATGTCCGAAAAACACACATCTCTCGCCGACCTCCATTCAGAAAATGGAATCGCTGAAAACAACGGTGATATGGAGAGAAATGATTCCTGGGAAAACCAAAATGCGATGAAAGTTCCGCAAAGATCAAACTCGATGCCTGAAGCTATGAGAAGATATCTTGGGCAAACACCAGACGAAGAGGGTGTAGTGGTATATTCGAGGTCTCGTGAATGATTGGGGATATCTATATCCGAATATAAATATGGTATGTTTCTCAAAACCACATATACAGGCTGCACGTTATTAAACAGCTTGGGCAAATGGATTAAGGCGTTAACCAATGAATCATAGGTAGCTGGGCTACTCTTATATAGATATCTAGATGAAAATTATTTGGTTTGCGCGCGTGGTTACTCTTAGTTCTAGTTTTGTTTCTTTCCTTATATCTACATATTTTAATCTACGAACCGAAAGTGTATTTGTGTTATGCTACATACATGTGTATGCATGTATTTTCTTCTATACTACGACATGTCGCCGTCTCTGCACAGCGCTGAATGTATACTCCTACCATAAGAATACGTCAATATATGCTTAAACCCACTTCAATTCACGATCTATGATTCCGGATGCAAAGTCACATCTTCCAAAGACCCCGCCGGCTGAATCTTTAAGCTTTTCGGCATGTGTACATACGTATATACGTATATATACCCAATCAAAACTTCTCTGTGCGGTCTATTCTATCAAAGATAAAGCCTCCAACCGGCAGTTGGAATTTGGGTGTCCAACGATGACTGCAGTGAGCAAGGTATCAAGAGCATATAAAATTGCAATTTATGATGATATCCTGAGGCGGGTGAGGGGTCCAAACATATCCCTCAATGATATTTCTAGACAGCTTTAGACGCTGGCTACAGGTTCGATGGTCGTACAGCATCGTGCTCATTCCACGTGGTTGACAGGGTTCAAGGTAAAGCGAGTTGCTCACGTTGCTGCCACGTTTTATGAGCCTCTTTTCTAGAACATGTGGGATTGGATAAGTAAGGCGCTATGCGCTACGCACTGATCTGAACCATTCAGAAGTTAGGGACTAGTTCTTCCTAACAGGGCGGTACGTGCTTCTCCTTTCCACTTAGACCTCACATGTACCGAAAATTAAATCCTCTTTGAATTGACTCGGAATCTGTTTCGCTCTTTGACAAGGCTTGCCTCTCTCTATCTCCTCGATCGAGAGCGATACGGGCCTCATCTTCTCTAATTGACCGGGAATTACGTTCGATTTTTATGTCAGCCTACAAACAAGATCATTCGGTGTGTGCCCCAGATTCTTACTCCAGGTTTTCCCAGGGTTGAAATGTCCAGAAAGGCAATAGATCGAACCCGGGCTGTGCATGCAGTGCTTACCAACTAGAGTTAATGAGTCCAGGTACTTCAATATATCACACAAGATTGCTCGCCATTTGGTTCGACCACTCACACTAACCACCAGTAAACATAGAGGCTGCCATGTTTACGGCGATCCCGACCCCTCAATCCTGACTCTATCAAAACCAGTCGTTATGCATACTCATGGGTTCCTTCAGAGCGTCCGAGATGAAGGTCACTAAAATATTAACCTCTCAGACCCAAGCCCCTTTTGCGCGTTACACAGCCCACGGCTGGATGATCCTTTCAAAAACGTGGAAAGTTCCATGAGATTGAGCACGCACGTCAGAGAGGTTTGGGAATGTCAACAGAAACATGTCCGTGAACTGTGATTCAAAACCGGTTCATGCGGAGAAAGCCACATGGCTGTGTGAAACCATGCAAGTAAGCACGGCATCTCAGACATGGAAACATCGACTAGCTAGAGTTTAGGTACCTCGAATTTTCCGATACAATACACATATTATTCCGAGTATTCCCAACTAACTCTAGGCGTAAGTGGTTTGTTCCAATACCTGGCTAATCAAAACAGCCCCTCCTGTACATACTTTTGTTCAAAGGAGGAAGACGCCAAACATAGCCAAGTGTATGGACTTCATGTTAGGCACCTCTACCACTATCATTTATGATATAAATCGCAAGATACGATTAGATCATGGACGCCGAATTGCCGGAATTGCCAGCGTCCCATACCAGGGTTAAGATCTAAGAATCTAAGTATAAGGTAAATTTGGATTTACTTACTCTCACAGCTAGCTGAGCAACTCAGTACTCTGGCTTATGCAGTGTTAGAGCTAACCAATCAGGCATGTCAAAAGCGCAATCGATGAGTTAAAAACAAGGCGTGCCAAAATGGTAGGCTTGATCGAGTGATATTTCATGACTACATACATACATCGAATGATCAATGCTTTTGATCGAGATTAATTTTGGAGCTATCTAAGATCAGGGACATAAAAAAAAGACTGAGAACTTCCTTGGCGTAGCCTTCTTTTCTCTCCTGGTCGTGGTGAAAACCCTATTTAGGCTACTTTCCTATCATTCTTCGACACATCTCCTTTTTTTTTCTTTCTTGTTGGTGAGTGAATCTAAGAGCCCTGTACGAGGCGTATAACTTCAGGATCTAACCGTATGGTACGAGTTAGATACAATGATAAAATTTTACATGTTGATAACCTACAAGGTTATATCCGTAGTCATGCAATGCAGGAGAGCCGGAGCTTCCGTAGACAATCACATGCAGGATCAAGGCGACTTTTGTATACGAATGACAAGCAGGACTATGTGGGTAGACAAAACATGATGTATCTGCTGTTAGCTACTGATTGATACAGCCTCGTGGTACTCCAATACTAAATTTTTGACTTGGATAGCACTGGGGAGAACGCTAGGGTTATACTCAGCGAGAAATCTCACCTGGGCTCACGGACGCCGTACCCGGTGACTGCTTCATTGGGAATTTGGTAATTCATTGACCCTAGATCTCTCCTCGAGGGTGCATAAATCCTTGGTCTATGCTAACTACATGTAGCCAGCCTACCAATCTCATAATCGCGATGATCAATCTTTGAGGAGTATCAAGAGCTAGAGACTCCATACGATATAAATGTGGGGGATAATTAGCCCTACATACGCTCTCACCCCAGACAGCCATGTGGCATTCCAACGAAAACCAAGCCTTCTGATTCACTTTAATTTACCGATTCTAGAAGACAAGGCTACGCGGTCCTAGGTACCAAGACATGTAAGTAAGACGTAGAAACCTCTCTGCGCGTTGAACGGTTTACTTTCCGATGGTATCCGTTCTTCTTACCAGGGAAAGGGATAAGAGATCTAGGATTTGAATTAAGACAAGGTACTCGATGAGAACGCGCCGCCGGCGTGCGGCACGACAACCCCTGACTTAGGTCAAGTAGATCTATGGCATTTGATTCATCAGAAGGGAGAAGGGCGTCGTCAAAAATGTGAAACCTTTATTACATCTATTGATGTCGTCGATGAATAGCTTCTAAGGGAGGGTAGTGGGCTTATTTTAAGCCCCAAGATGCAAGAGAGGAAGCCTTCAAATATCTTGTTCTGGAGTGGACGCCTTGCACAGTACTGCACTACCTGGATACCCGGTCCCTAATCGATTGCATGATGATTGGCTTATATCTGTCGAGGAGGATTCATATGGCTCCGATTAGAGGACATGCTGTGCCGCAGAATAACCTTGTACCTCACGCTGTTGGAAGAGCAGACAGTTCAAGGTATGTAGAGTAGAGACGTAATTAAAGTATCAATGCATCGAGGTCTTTTAGAGCCCATGTGTCTACAAAACTACTACTCTCAAGTAAGGCTCCGTGAGCTCTCGCCGACCTAACCACCATGGGGAATCGTGCATCATTATTCTGCGCGTATGTACGCCCTGCGCTTCATTTGAATGTGGAACAGGTAGGTTTTGAGATTCTAATTGTGACTTACTCTTCTTCTGTTGAAAATTCGACATTAACAACGTAATTGATCCACTGTCCCTGTTTTTATGATGAAATCATCATTGTTATATTGCACTCACAAAAGAGTTATGTAGCCTAGATTATTAGGATACCCGATTAGGATATCTTTCTACTATCGCCAATTGGGGAGCAGCAGTGCAACTCAATTGCTGAGCCGATGACTGATAGGAGTGCAAAATTCCAAGCGGAGAGCCTCCGTAATGATAGGTTTATTGGACGTATGCCAAAGCTCGCACGTTCAACGGAACGGAGAGGCTCCGGAGCTGGCCGCTGACTCTTAATGGTGATACATAGATCTTGGGTACAGACAATAGAAAACCCAAAATCCAGGTACCTACATACATACATACTTCATTCAAGCCCTATATGAAATTACCTGTCAATGTCCAGTACAGATACTGGGTGTAACATCTATGTTGAGTATGTACCTACTCTAAGTATATACTACAGTGGATCAGCTTACATGTAGTTTCCCCGTTCATGATCTGGCGAGTGAGCCTCGGGGCCATTTAGAACCTAACTGCCCCGGAAATTCGGATGAATAAGGCAAGATGGATGGAGGAACAGAGCCTTGTCGGGAGCTCTTCTATTCGTTATGTAACTCAGTGACCAGATATATGTATAGTTTACATACTCAAGTCAGTTGTCTCACTCAGTTATTCTAAGTACTCATTATTATACAGTGTAGGCAGGCTCAAATCCCTCCGGCCGCTCCGGAAAACCCGCTGTCTAAGCACACTTCTTCTGAATCTAGTGCAATTTGTATCCCGTGCTCATGTACTTTGAATAAGCAATGTCCTCACCGGCGTTTCGATGATTTTCAAAAGATTAGAAGATAGATTTAATTTCCCGACGTCCTCCAATTGCCAAGAAGCATGATAACTGTGCTTCCGGGGGCTCTGGGGGTTCGTTCAGCTAGGTGCAAGGTTCATAATAATTCAATGATTCATGTAGTCTAGAACAGATATTACACGTAACATTTATCGTGTACCGTTTGGTTTGGAGGCCTTCCAGAAGGCAAAGCTTATTTTTGGATGACAGAATCGTCGCAAGTGTTCGAACAGCTAGGCACAGGCGAACATCCATTCGCGTAAATAAGGTTCTTAATATGTACATGTAGTCATTCGATCGTGTGGTAATTTTTCGCTACCCCAGACGGTGGCAAGTCCAGCAATTAATAGATAGAGTAGTGAGGGAGGGGGAGGGGAACGAGCCTGTGGATGTGGAGGTGCATCAGCAGCAGTAGTGCAGAGACGCAAAGTATGGGCTGGGTTGGAGTTGTTGAGACTGGTTTTGTAGAGTATGTACCTACTGGAGTACTACTCTACGTGACAGTATGTATTACCATGATTAGGAGTTGAACTTAGAATTCTTAAGCAACTTTCTGTACGCTCACGACGGGTAATTCATCCTTGAGCCCCAAAATCATAGAGTAAAGCACTGGACAGTCTGCACCCAAGTAGAGTACCACACCGTACTCTACCGAAGTTACATGCAATTAGCCGGCAAACTACATGTATGTAATTGCAATGTAGTGTCTGCGCTGTCTGGCTAACAAGACGACGACGTTGGAATAGGCTTCAACCTCAAGGCTGATATTGTCCTTCTGTTCACGGGTCTCTGTACGATCCGTACAGCGTACATACAACTGTACTTTATTAATATGATCGCTTTTTGATCATGATGAAATCTCCAAATAGGTTCTCCTAGCCGGTAGGGACAATGACGGATGAGGCGGCTTTGATACCTCTCCATTGTATGCCCGTTTGAGAGTGTTCAAACAGGAAGTCACATCTAGTTTGAGGCTGAGAAATTTGGTTCATGAACGGGCTAATACCAGTACTCCGATCGTCACTTTCACTCAGTTTGGGTCCCATGAGCTGCTCATCTGGTCGAAAGGCGCTAGCAAGCACAGAAGAGAGGTGGCTAGACTACCTGTACGTACATGATCCAGGTCACAATTCTTGGAAAGATGACTACTGTAGGTAGGTGCAGCCATATTCTCAGCCTCCTCTTCGAACCTCGTTTTTGCAATTTGAGCCAGGTCATCTTTCACCAGCACAGGAACGTACAGCAACAGCAGCACAGCCCGCTCACAACTTAGCTACTTGCACCTACTGCGTCAAAGTGGATCCATAAAACAGTGAAACAGCAGAGCAATTATGGGTGCCAGGTTGTAAAACTCAGACGTGTGTAAGTACATGTATGTGGAGTGCATACAGAAAGAAAAAAAACGATATGCATCAATTGCTGATAGTATTTTCTGGCTGATGGTGCAGAGAGGATCAACGACCGGAGTTTAATCGACTTGCTAAACTAAACGTTCTTTATGATTTTGATTCATCTGAGTACCCACATCTACATAGGCACTATCATCAGTTCACCAGGCATCACCTCGAGCGATTGTGTTGCTACAACTGATTTTGATGCCCAGGTCTCAGGTGAAACGTCGCTGTGAAACTCAGTAACCGAAAGATGATGCCGTTCCATCTGAGTACGCGGTATATAATGCTATTGTGCATACATAAATTCACAAACGGGCCACAGAGCCACAAAAGATGATTGGTTCAATTCGGGATCCGGATGTCGCACAGGGTCCAAAAAAAAGGTCTGAACTAATTCCAAGGTAGGCTGATGATGTACCACTAGCAGCGAAAAGGAGCAGACAGACAGAAGCTTATCGTCCTCCCCCTCCAGCTTCCCCATCCCTAATTAAGAGAAATCCTGCGCATGTTTATTTGGTTATGAAAACCATAAAGCTACTGAAAGTCTGCTCGGGACTGCTCTCTGCAGCGACTCTACTTCGTCTTCGACTCTAGCAAAATTATCAATTCGCACTGCGCTCCTGTGCGAATTCGCACATTACGCACCGTTGGCGCATACCTATAAGTTATCGACGTCCGACCCTCCATTTTTACTTGAACTCGACTTGAAGGTCGATACGATAGTCAACTACGACCCTGTAGCTACGTCTTACCCTGCGCCTGTATCTGTGTTGCTTTTCATACAGGCTTATTTGGTTGCCTGTTTTACGCTTTGCGCAGCTGTTACCCACTTTTGCTCTCATTTTTGGGGGAAGGCATCTTTTGTTAAAATAAGACCTTATACCTTTTTGTCTGTTCCAGTACGCGATCGCAAGCTCTGGTGTTTACTTTTGTAAGTGCTAGCTCTCTAAATATACCCGCCTACCCGACTACCACTAGTGATGTTGCTACTACGATGCTAATACAAATACCTGTAATAGTCGATATTGACACAAAGAACAATCCATCATGGCGAGCGAAAGATGTACCGCTTCCCGACTACAAACATTGCCGGAGTCATTACAGCAGCACGCCGATTTCATCAAACCCCTAATGAAGCCTCTAATGGCAAACCTATGCACCACATTCATTCAAAACTTCGACGAGCGGAATATCGTAGAAAGTGTACCTTTAGACCTTGTCGATCCGTACTTTCTACCCTCTGAAGCTAGGGCATCCTTAGTGCAAGAAATCTCAAAGTGTATTGACAACTACCTCAACTGTAACACGTATGACTTTAATCCGGGCTACTCTATAATGAACCGATTCATAAACGAAGATCCAAAAGATGCGCCCTGGGCACCTGGACTAACTCAAAAGGATAACCACGGGGATGATATGGGGACTTCAACCTCTAAGAATCTCATCCAGCAGGCCGCCAAAGGCGTAGGCGTGGAGGGATTTGGTTGGGAAGCAGACCTAGGTATGCGCATGTCAGAAAGGTCAAGAGAGCAAAATGGCAATGCTTTTCTGGAGAGAATAGAGTCTGCACACAGGATTATCACGCAAGGAGGAACGGAGTTCTTGGACCCAAGGAGAGGGCTCGCCCCAAAAGCTATGTCGACTACTGGGGTAAGGGACCAAAATGTACATGCAGATGCTATCAAACCGCGTGGATGTTCGAGTTATATCGATGGCTCTACAAGACCGCGACAAAGTAAACGACGTGTATCTCCCGGAAATAATGGCAAAGGACTATCTACAACAGCAACAGGTACTCCGAGCCGGATGCATAGCACGAGCGCAGGTAGCACAAAATCGACTCGCCGGGAACCTAAAAGGCATAAATGCCCCGACTGCAACGAAGTATTTCAATTTGAAGCACGGCTGAAGTAAGTACTACCTACCTACTTTATTGTTCGATCTTTTTATTTGATGTTAATGCATTCCTTAGGAGTCATCAAGCCGTTCATAGCAAGACTAAATGCAGATGTCCCGTTTGTGACTCGCTCTTTGGGCGAGACAGCTCCCTCAAAAGACATCTCAACACTCCTGGCGCCTGCCAAAAGAAAAAGGATGCAAAGTTACGGAATGCATCATTTCAGAACTCTCCTACGGCGACGAGAGCTGGCAGTCAGCATAACTACTACGAAATGGATGCTACAGCTTCAACCTCCAGTCTTGTTGATGGCGGCTCAGTTAATAACTCGCCGCTAGATACCCGGCAACCTACTCAAAATTTCAGCCAGCATCCAAATTATTCTTTGACTTATATGTCACAGAGCCCAAATTCTCATTCCGCGAATTATGGATCCGCGTACCAAAATGTAAGCTCTCAAAGGCCCAGCGGGGATTGGGGCGCATTAGATCCTTCAAACTACAACTGGCACTGCGATCCGTTTCCGTTTGCCCAGTTCGAATGAGGCTTGATGATTGTGCCATCCGCCGGTCGCGTTACGGTACGCCGCCTGGCTCTCCCACATCAACCAATTACCGACTCATCAATGCAATCTAATGTTCAAACTTTTCATGTGGAAAATCTGCCGGTGGTCGGTACTCAAAAATCGAAAAACAAGGCAGCATTCTATTGAGCCCTACCTTCTAGATTCCTCGCCACACCGAACACTACTGCCACCCTGCCTCCGAGTCCGATCCATACATGATCACCATCTGAATATATGTACATATCCTTGGTAAATCACCAGGGTAATCTCAAAACCGACCCCCCACATGTGACGACGGCCTGGACCCAATTTTCATTTCCCCCTCCGCTTTCATGGCTATTGGATGAGGAATACAAACTCTCCTCTTCAAATTCTTTTTTTCATTAAAACCTTACACCATTTTAATTGGTCACTTAGTTTTTATTTCGTTAATTTTTGGTATGATTGATACTCATGTCCTGAGTTTTGCTTTGTTTGTACTTGTGCTGTTGTACTTCTATGGGTTTTGGACCTTTCCTTTTCATGTCTTCATGTTTGGCAGGATTTATATCTTGCGATAAAGGCTACTTGGCTATCTACTACCAATCATACGGTCTCTATTCATTTCCTTTGCAAGGCCAGACCATATACTCATTCGTTTGTGTATTTGTTTCTATCTTTTCTTTTGTTCCCTGATTTTATGCACCACTCCCGACTCTCGAGAGTCTTCGAAGAATCATAATTAAATACAGATGATGTACGATTCAACGTAAGCACCGTTCCTTAAATATTTGATGATTCGAGAATAAATCGCTAACTCTAAACGCATGCAGCTCTCCCTTGGCGACATCTCCAAACCACATACATATGTAGCTTCGCCCAATTCGCCATGAGATTCACGTTTGGAGTGGTGACGACAAACGAATCCCTCACAGTCGTCGTTATAGTTGCTGTCATGGGATGTACAAGAACGATATCTCGCCATAGATGGTTCAATTGCGCACCAATTTTGGCAACTTAACGATGCACCCAACTAGGCTAAATTTTTAGCCAGTGGGACGTGAAGCCTTGGTCATCAGGAAGGCTGAAGGTCTGATAGGACAGTGAATTATGCGCACCTGGTGTGCGTATTTGGGGAAAGGGAGCTTAGGGTAGAGAACTACGTGTAGCTGGCAAAAGAGAACTCTACCTCTACTGGAGGAATATATACTATACTCTCTGCCAGGAGTACCCACGCTAGATTTTTCCGTAAGGATTGAATATGAACAAGGCGGGTGGAAGTTCAGGCCATGGGTACTGTAGTTGAGTAGGTGCATATATGATGTGCTGATGTAGACATACATGTATGCATGTAACGTGTTCCTTTTGATTGATCTAGGTCGGTCGCTTGTGGAGTTGGTAACATTCAAAATTCACGATGTTTTCCTATATTATATGGGGATTTTCTTTTTGGGTATTGCTTAATTGGCTGGAAAGAAAACTAGAATCCATATCTTTTGGGCACGTTGTACCTAAAGTACCTACTTGATACAGACCTTTGATTGCCTGTGTTCTAGCCCCCACAAGGTGAGAGAGGCTGCTTCCCCCCATCCAAGTACACGCGGCAACAGCTCGCCAAAATTCAGTTGCCGAGGACGGACTGGGTGCGCAGCATGGCGCGCAAGCAACAGCTCGCCTAAATCCCAGGAGACCACTTCTCGGAACGTTCATGTGGGACATTACTAATGGAACGATTAAATAGTTCATGCACCTGTGCCTCAGTCGGGCGCTCTCGTGCTACTGGCTGGCGGTGCACATGAGCATCTGATTACATATGTGTGGTTGAAAGCCTCAGTCAAGAATATCTTGAAGAATTGGACACAGTCCATACGGTCTGGAAAGCTTATGGAATGAAGAGTACATACATCGACGATTCTTTTTCTCTTCCAAGGCGTTCTACTATAGAGTCCCAGAGTGTGTAGAGCTACATGTAGAGTACAGGTACCTACTCTAGCTATATACATGTAGTAGGTACTCTACCCACATGTACCATTCTCACATATCAATGTCAGCGCCCCTATCATGTACCTACATATTATTTCTATTTTGACCACAGTTTTAAATTTTGCTAGTCCATCGATGGAGGTGGTCGCCGCCAGCCATGTTGTTCCCAAAGATGAGATAAATGCCTGCCCAGCTTGATTTGCACATTTGGCTTACTGAGCCTCATATGTAATGTTTTCCGGTGCTGCTTCTTGTAGAGAGATATCTTATGGTCCAATTGCCTTTCATTCGGGTATGGCTGTTCCCGACTGTAAGTACTCTAACTACATGTACCTCTAGGTCTAGAACAAGTTGGATAGAGTACCTACGCTTTGACTCAAAATACAAATGTGATACATTGTGCTCGGCGAAACTCTAGCAGGAGATAGTGCGGGGGACGAGGTGAGAGATTTGAAAGTGATGTTCTAACCACCACCACCATCATCATCATCACTGTTCCAGTTCCGTGGGCGACATGACCCGCTCGAAGTGTACCTTTCTGGATTGTCAACAGTGGTAGCAGCGGGTGATGGCGGGAGGCCCAACGTTCTTGTTCCTGTCAATACATAAAAACAGATTACCTGTTGGTAATATTTCTTATTCTTCAGCCCCTGTAGAAAAAAAGTGTCTACAAGGAGGTTGGCATTGGGCAACCGACGTTCCCAACCCACCATATGGGATTTTAATCTCTAACTTCTAATGCTAGCTAGTTTTGTATGCGAGGGTGAGATGTTTAAACAGACTTTGCTGTATCTAGTTAGATCTTCGGCCCGTACCAATTCTTTACCCTGAAGGAGCCAAGCAGAGGGGTAGGAGGTATATGGGCTACTCTAAAAAGAATTTCGGAATATCGGGTACAGCCAGACACATGAACCAGGTGCTTACTGGTGATATATATATATATATATAAGCTATGAATACCCACGCACCATCTGCCTACCCGCAGTTAGTTCATCTTGTCTATTGGGCAAACTCGCTGTACAATTTTTCCCCCAGACTATTTCCTTCTGTATACATCAATCATGGCAGGAGCAGCAACATCAGCAGGTGATTTAGAATTCCCTGAGGAAGAGATCGCGCTTGACCCTTTGGTGAGTTGAAGTCTTTTAGGTTCTATGTGCGTTTTGTGGATCTAACTAACTGGTGTTTAACTCTGGACAGTGCGATGAAGATTCCGGATCCGATTATGGAACAGGGTCGTGAGTACACGAAACTTCTAATGACGGCTTATTGCACTATCTAACCTGCCTCTAGGAGCGAGTACTCCACAGATTCATTGACTTCCTCCATCTATGAGTATGACAATCCCCTACAGCCGTAATGAAAGATACAGTACTGTCACGCGATTGCGATCGAGGATTCATCTCTTCTTTGTTGAGATCTGCGATGGAAACTACTTTATAGCTTACTAATTATTCACAATTAGATATCGCTTCGAAAACGGCCGCAGATATCACGCCTACAAGGAAGGCAAATATCTCCTCCCTAATGACGAAGCCGAGCAAGAAAGGTATTTGATTTCACTCTCTTCCTGGCCCTGCTGCACACACTAACATGTGATGCTGGTATTTAGATTAGATATTCTACACCATATTTATGTGCTGTTATATAAGGATAAGCTTCACTTAGCGCCAGTAGAAGAACCCCAGAGAATCTTGGACATCGGTACTGGAACAGGTATCTGGGCAATTGATATCGCTGAGTAAGCAGATCGCCTACTGGAGCTGTTAAAAGCTATTCAACTAACTCTGGGAATTGATAATAGGAAGTACCCAAACGCCGAGGTCATCGGGACAGATTTGAGTCCTATTCAGCCAAGTTGGTATGTTAGGTTTTCCCAGCAAAAAATTAATCAAATTTTCTTAATTAGAATAACAGGGTTCCTCCAAACGTCCAATTCCAAATCGATGATGCGGAGGCCGACTGGACATTTGCAAGGAACTCTTTCGACCTAGTTCATATACGCCACTTGAACGGAGCAATTAAAGATTGGCCCAAGCTTATAAAAGAAGCTTTCAGGTTCGCTTTCATCTCTATTATTTAGTGATAGCAGCTTGCTGATAGATATTCGTAGATGTATCAAGCCCGGCGGCTGGATCGAACTCGCAGAATATGAATTATTCCTCCACAGTGACGACAATACTCTCCCCAAGGACAGCTCCCTCTACAAGTACTATGATCTATGTAATCAGGCTGCTACCAAGCTTGGACGGGAATTCATAATCGCCGCCAATCTCAAGCCAATCATTTTGGAGGCTGGATTCGAATGTGCCACCCACCAAACCATGAAGGTTCCGTTCGGAACGTGGCCTGCGGATAAGCTGCAGAAAGAGATGGGTGCATACTTATACATGACAGCTGAGGAAGGCTTTGCGGCCTTTGGTATGGCTCTATTGACGAGAGTAATGGAGATGGAGGTGGAGGAGGTCAACGCATTAATTGCCCAGGCAAAAATAGATGCGAAGAGCAGGAAGATTCATTCATATTCTCGACAGTGAGTAATACCCTTCCCCCATAATGTGGTTTAATAAACCTTTGACTAACATTGATTAGGCATATCTACTACGCACAAAAACCTATTTGCAGCGACGATGAAGAAGAGGGATACTAAGTAATTTGTAGAGCTTTTCGAACGTATTAAACCATATATGTCCTGACGATTGAGTATTGTTTTTCTTTACTTCTTTTCCTTGAATCATCTGTGCTTGTCAATGTGTTCATTTCTTCAACATCGGGCGTAAACAATGGCAATCGTGAAGATTTTCTCACTTGTAGTAATTCACGCAACGAATGGTTAACTAGAAAAGGAGGATGAATAGCCCGATTTTATTTATATTGCAGTTAATGTCACCATATATTATGGTGTTGGTTGATATACCTTTTGAGCGCCACCGTTATAATGTCTCTTTTTATGAGCTAGCATATAATTATTATTACACATGTCCTCCCACTGAATGCTACTCTCATCTACAGTCGCACCTCGTTATGTCGTAAGCGTATTCTGGGAGCCCAACCCCTACGAGATGGCAAATATACGAGACAGCAAATAGGATTTGGTGGAGGAGGGCAGTATCTGTCCCGCAAATCCGTACGATACAGAAAGAGATCCGAGATATCAAATTGGTAGACCGAACATGTAATGTTCAGCAGTCGTTGACTTGAGATATGTTGCGACCTTCGAGCTGAACACTGAGTTAGCGGAAGTTCCAGCTCATGTCCTTTATGTTGCGTGACCGCGAGACGTGTACTACGTACGTACCATATACTATACCTTTAACCTTAACCTTCCCGGAAAGCAACACTGATATGTACATGTTGGCAGCTCTCGGTATCTAATAATATGGACGTAAGGATAGGGAACTACATCTATAGCGGAATCCCGATAGCTAGTAGCATATTCGATAGTAGGCTGGCCAGAGAGAGCTCTGATCGATATCACACATACCCCAATACCCCACTAGGCCCTCAGGCCCTCCCAACAAGCTCCGAGAAAATTAACCCCCCCCCCCCCCCCCAAAGAAAAGGGCAATAAATTTACAAAAAGTGATGCTGTGGCCATATACCCTTCGCGGGGGTATCGGCCCAATACAGTACTGCAATATATTGGGCTACATTTTCCCGGTATATAATATACACCCCACAGACACTCCCACCCCCGGGATTGAACCCATGACCTACTGATGGTCATGGGGACTCAACCCACTCGGTGTTCATGCAAGACTACATGTAGCTGTCTACCCTAGACTACACTCGCCCACACAATTTTTAGTGCACTGGAAGTAATATCTAAGGGAGGGAGGGCAAAGTGAGCTAGGAAGACACCTAACCCTACAATCACAATCTACCACAAACCCACTGGCCATCCTCTTGTAGTAACATATTCGATATGGGTGTTCGATACTTGATGGTAACACACACTGGGTGACATTCTCTACCATATGTTACTGTCGAGACTCCATGAATTCAGTGCACTATAAACAAGTACATGTATCTTATGTAATATAATCGATACAGCGCTAACAGAGTGAGTGATATCTCGTGCTTAAGGCGCATGAGTTGATTAACCGTATAATTACATATACATATATAGGCCTAGGCTTAACCTCACGCGCACGTACAAGCGCAGCCTAAAACCATCATACGGAATACTTCTGCAGAAAGGAAAAAAAGAAAGAAAAAAAACAGCATTTTTTCTCGCAACCAAAAGACTTACGTGCCCTCCGATATATATATATGGCCACTAGTGCTCTAGCGACATGGTGGGGAATTAAACAAACGTCATAGCCAGCAATTGATAGAGTCAAACTACACAGCTCGTCCCATTATATATTAGTACTACACAGGCCATTCAACATCATGACACAATATTTATTTTTCGTAGCTTTGCCAGTTAGTATGGCTTGGCAATATTTGGTGGGAAATGATATGTTTGACACACTATTTTATAACCACACCTAACCCATCCATCTACGTGCTTTCTTGACCAATACATGTAATTCAGTCAATGTGCATAAAGGCGTATACGTAATATAAAAACTAAATTGGACTGACTGCAGAGTACTACATGTTCATGTAGTTCCCGTACTCTTATGTCACGAAGATTATCTTGGATGTATACGTACATGTATATGTGGAGCTAAGAAACATGGTGCACTACCTTGGGTATATGTAATTAGGTGCTTGGGTGATTCACTAAATACGTGTCATGTACGTTCGTGTTTTGTAAGGCTAGGTCTTATGAAATTATCCGGGAAGATTGATCAAGCGTAATCCGGTTACTTCATGAATTAACCAGTCAATCAATCAATGGTACACTACCTTCCCCCACATTGTTGCTTTTATCTGACCTCGGCAGTTATAGGTATGATGTACAATGATGTATGTAGGTACTTCCAACTTACAATTACAGTATTGTATAGGTTCTAAAGACAAGCGTATCAAAACGAAAGTATTTAGTCAAAATACGAATGAGCTAGGATTACAACATCCTTTTTTTACAGAGTATTAAGAGCACGTGTAAAGAAATTATGTTTTTAGTGGCTTGAACCCAGGGAAGTGCACAGCACCTCTAATGAGTCCCCGTGAAAACCCAGCCCATCTTCCGCCCTCTTCCTCTCTTTGGTGCCGACGCCCTCCTCCTCCTCTGTGCTGGCCTAGGCTCAGCAGGCTCTGCACCATCCTCAGAATCCGGATTTTCATCTGCCTTTCTTTTCCCCGTTACCGCTGACTTCGTAACCGGGGCCGCCGGAGCAACTGGAATAGTCGGAGTTGTTGTCTTATGTCCACCTTCCAGCCCCAATGCTGCATCGAGCGCATCCACCCCACTTAGACCTGCGATCCCCACCGGACCGGGAATACTGCGAAACTCGGCGCCCTCTTTTCCCAGGACAAATCCCACTTTCTCGACGTCGCCTGCAGTAACATCGCCCCCGAGTCTTTCCACGAGTGCCTTAACTCCCTCCACGTAGGTTCTATATTCTTTTGCGTCATATTTGATTTTTTTATTCCAACCCTCGCGACCAGGAGAATATAAAATCCAGCGGTACGCTTCATCTGAGAACGCTGGCACCGTATCTGGGGCCATAATGGCTAGGATGTAAGAAGCTGTGGCGGGTCCGACCCCTTTGAGGGGATCAGTGAGGTCCTTTAACGAGGCGATGATATGTGCGGTAGTGGGTGGGGACGGTGCGCCGAGGAGGTTATCGAATGCTGCAGTGGTCGCAGAGGTCACAGTGGAGGGATCGTTACTAGAGATAAGTTTTGGGAGGGCTTGACGACGTTTCCCACGTGCCCTATGGATTCTTCTTAGCTTTTGTATAGAGAGGATGGAGGTGAGGAGCTGTGGGGACAAACATTTTACAACCAAGTAACTTCTGGAGTTCCCCTTTCATCAAAAAGGGCTTACTTCTCGCCTTGACAACCTCGGGAAGTGTATTGAGCCTCCAAAGATCGAGCTCCTCAGAACTCAGTTCTGACGATTCATCTGGTTTGGCCAGCTTTGGCGCAGAATTTGTCTTTGAGAGAGCGCTCATGGTAGCGGGGTACCGAGAGAGAACCTCGGCGAATTCTTGAAGGGTGATGTGGTTCGGGGCAGGAGTGGTCGCCATCGTTTGTGTAATATCTGCGTGTGTATGTGGGTTGCTTGAGTGAGGTTGTAAGGAACGCGTAGCATACGGACATTTTCGAGGAGACGCGTTAATGGAAATGACGCAGGGCTTGGCGCCGGTGCGCGGTGATATTCATGAGTGTGAGGGGTGGAATACATGATGCCCGTGGTAATTCCGATAAGATGCTAGCTAGTTAATCGATAACGTATAACCTGGAGTCGAGCTCTGCTACGCCGGGCGATTGCATTGAAGGATACACCACTACATATGTCTGGTCACGCAGGGTTACATCTATTCAGAGTATAAATACGTAGATCTCCCCAGCCCTAGCCCTGGCATTTGCTCATTACGAGATTACATGGATATATACGTATGTACGCACATCCTAGTACTCTGATTGATACATCGGATTTAACAATCACCCCGGAAATGGTCATTTCCAACACCCCCTTCCACCACGAATTTTGAAGTGTGAAGCCGTGTACAATATATGAACGCGGGTCTGAGAAGACTTGACTTATGGGCCCAAACCTAACAAACCCAAACCACCAACCAATCCGCCCAAAAGCTGTTCTAAAGGGTGTATATTATATTTTTCAGAATTTCCTTTATGATTTAGCCAGTAGGAAGCTCCATATCAAGCTTAAGTTGGTTGAAACCTACTGTTTTAAATCTTTTATTCTGACACTATCACCATGAGAATTTTGGCCCTTGATATAGTTTTTCTATATATTCCCACTTGTTTTCCATACCTGTATTTTTGTATAGTGGTGTGGGGTCTTGGCAGATTTCAACCAAAATCACTTCAGAGCCAGTAACCCCCTTCGATACTTGAATACATGTACATAGTTTAGGTTATTTATAAATGTATTTACTTTAACTACTCTACCGCTAGAATACCGGATATACAATGTATCTAAGGGTTCTATTGCCTTGTGTAATATGTCATGTAGTTACATGTCATGTCATGGCTACCCTAAATGATGGAGAGCATGAGTTATTTTATATAGTAGAACTCACCAACGTGACTACTAATATAATGGCCTAAATATTTAGCGCTTTTATTAGAGCGTATTTACTAACCGTTAATTTTGATAATTGACACTTCGTTACTCTCTAAAGCGACATCCGCAAGTCAATTTTGGACGGTGTTGCTTGCCAGGCTGTGAAATGCGTCAAAAGGATACAAAATACAGCATATCCCGTCAGCGTATATCACAGATAGGTAGCGTGAGGAATCATTAGATCTTTAGAGTTACCCCAATCGTACCTTCTCTGCGCCGCTAGCCCTTGTGGAGAGGTAGTGTCAATTTTGCCCTTTGAAACCGTCAATTTTAAAGTGCCAATTGTCAGAAATGACACTTGGTAAATACGCTCTATTAGAGCGTTTTGGCAACGGCACTTTTCCAAATTTCTAGGTCAAATTTTGAGTTCTTGGCTCTGCGCCGCTAGAAGCGATTCCGTTGCTTCTTTGGTGTGAAATCGCAGCAGATCCTGGAAGATCGACTTGTAAATGCTTGTAGCAGCGCAGAGCCAAGAACTCAAATTTTGACCTAGAAATTTGGAAAAGGGCGTTTAGTACAGCCAGAAAATCCTATAATTCCGGATAAAACCCGATTTCTCAGGCCAAACCCCGCCATTGTGCAGATTTTAATTTGTGTGGTTTTAGCCACCGGTGTCCTTGATCTTGGAAAAGGCTTACGTATGCATGTGGATAATTGGGCGTGATGAAAATAACGGGAAAAATAAAATGTAGGTTACGTAGGTCTAGCAGTAGGCCGGTATAGCTGATCGCGCCCAATGACTTTACATGTACAAGGCTCTGGCATTTAGTGAGTGAACGGATCCTCACCTGTCAACACCCCATTTAGTTTGCTCACTTAATGCCAGAGCCTTGTACAGTCGCATGCAACAAGTTCCCGCCGTTTTTTGACAGTGAGTCAAACCATAACCACTCCACCATGAACTCTGCAAAATTTTCAAGATATGACAAGTGGCAAGCTGTTGTTATTCTCCATAAAATGGGCTGAAATACTGTACAAATAAATAAAGATACAAACTGTCCAGTTAGGAGGAGGATTGGCCTACTGGATGATCAGATTTCAATGCCATAGAGAATTCATGGGAAATGCTCAAGAGTGCACTAAAAAGGCAATGAAGTTATAGACAGAGAAGACCTCATCGTGATGATGAACCCTTTTATCGCTGCACAAGAGGAGTGGGGGGGCATTGTCTCAATCAAAGCTAGATAAATTGCCATTAAGGGTTGAGGCATGTCTCAAAGCCAATGGAGGCCATACTAGATGGTAGTCTCAAAATCGTTTTCTTTATATTCTATTTAACTCTACTATGTATTCTATATTAAATATCTTCACTTGTAGTTGAGTAACGAGTATTGAGGTCGGGTGTTGCATCGTGAACGGCGAGAACTTGATGCATGCGACTGTACATAGTTCTTTGCGAGTAATTCCAGGCTATCGTTATTACAGTACTTGAACTCCACGGTCCATAAATCAGGCGTGGCCGACTGCCAGTACCTACATACAGTACCTACATGTATGGCGCGAGAAGCCATGGGGGTACAAGTACTTGTTGTATGTACTCGCAATTTCACAGCGTTTCCGGACGCAACTGCTATTATATACACAGAAAAAACCCGCCAAGGCTATCTTTTGTATGGCATGCAATAGTGGTCGCGTCCGGAAACGTCAAAAAACTACGAGTAGGTGTGTCAACTTCGGATAACCTTATGGGAATCAGAGAAAATATCACCGTTAGCCTAGGCGCCTAGGCACTAACACCGTTATGGTAGTAGATCTTCCATTGGTTGATTCTTTAAAAAACGACACCTGCCCCTCCATGGCTTCTCGAGCCATCCCTTCGTCTGTTCCCGCGAATCACAACTTATTAGCGCTAGCGTGCAAACGGCGTCGTGATAAACCAAAATCTAACGACGATTGTTTAAAGCACTACTCGATTGTGAATTTATGTGACGAGTGGAGACAATTCTGCACCGCCGACAGCCGCTTCCAACTAGTCTGTGGATTTTGTGCCACAGATTGCCACAAGTCCTAAAAACAGACGAAGGGATAGACTTATACTACTAGTTGACGGGGTTACAATGCTGGTATTCGCAGAGTATTAACAGTGATCATGAACGACTGTCAAGCCTTTTTCCAAGTTGGAAAGTCAACCCGTAATTCCTTGCGTGCGGCTACATTTCTATCCTAGGCGAAACCGAGCATCTATCGGCTGCTTATCCTATTATTCCTACCTACATACTCGTTATTTTTTTGGAGTTTCCGGACTGAACTGGGTCTGCATATGGGCGAAAATCGTGCATAACAACCATATTTTGGTGGTATGCAAACCCAGTCCAGTCCGGAAACGCCAAAAAAAATAACGAGTTACACATACTTCACAGACATACATCTACAAATCAGTAATCGATCCTACGATTTCCTCTGGAACTACTCCGTTTCCCTGCTCAGCGAGATCCCTACTGAGCGAGATTGACATACAAATATTTCTTGGCTGCAGACTTGGGGGTCAGATTTTACGTGGTAGAGGACCCCAAGTCTCGGTCAGTAGGGATCTCACTGAGCAGGGAAACGGAGCTAGTAACCCACATTTCAATCTTCGGTTAATGCTTTTTGGGATGTGCGGGATCAAGCCGCTGCCGGCCGGTTCCATGTAAAATTAGTCCGTTAATGCATTTACATATTCTACCTGAAAACATTGTTATCAGATTTCATTGGCTAGCTAAGAGGAGTAATGCGTTGTTGTTTCTATAGAACGGAGGAACCTGATCATGAGAAATTGCGCAATGCGCATGATCGAGAGTTGTGATGGCGGCAAAACGGGGAAGATTGAGCATGAGGTCGTACAAGAGCAGTTGAGATCAGAATTAAAAAATATGACTGAGCGCGGACAGGAGAAGTTTGGAATGGGTACCATACATGCACTATTAACCTATCCCTTTCGACTTGAATTGGTGGAGATAGTAAGTAATTACTTAATGTCACCATGGCCAGTACCGCATGGGCTCTCACTCGGAGCAGCCGGTTTGAAGTTGTAGGACGGCATTAATGTCAAAAAAAAAAAGAGAGAACAAATAGCAATTAAGACATAAGCAATATGTTCGACGTGTGCGGAACTAAACGAATGCGTTAAACTTACTCGCGACAGGCATGAAGTACCCGAATATGCAGCTGCAAGTTTTTGGTGTATTTTTGACTTCTACTCCAATGGAAATTGCAGATTAGGACGTGCATTTTCGGGTACTTGTTACCTGCTGCGAGTACAGAGGGTGATCATTGGCCGCTTACGAGAGCTCGGAAACGAGGCTCCAACGTTGTGATAGGTCATTGCATATTGACTGCAACGCCACCAAGAACATTTTGGGATCTCTATCCGTTCCAGGTCACTGAGTCGATTTATGACACGAACGGTCAGGTTGGAACAATATTGAGAATAATAATCGCTCATGAAGATCAGCCAGCGTCTCATAGATCGAAACGTATCTTGCTGTACTCCAGATGCAGAAGATATAAGATTGAAGCCTTGAACCACCTTGAATATGGGTGAAAACTACATGTATTGTTCTATTTGTTTAGTATGCGATGTGGTGGTTGTGGTGCCGGTGGTGCACGGTGTTATAGTGTGTGTGTGTCTGGTGTGTGGGTTATGAAGTACGCTCGCAATAGGTATTGAGGCTCTTTGTTAGCTCACTAGCTGTATCTACCCCGATCGATCCGCGTACGCGTGGGTTGCAAGACAGGTTGAAAGCCTAGAAAGTCATTTGCGTGTTAGCCAATCCTGCAAGTCTTTTCTTTTTACCCGTTATTTTGATAGTACTAGAGTAAAGTCATTATTGAAGAAAGCTCGTGAGGGAGAGAAGGACGGCTCGAGGGGGAGTACTGATCATATATATATTATATATATAGACATTGCAACGTCAAAGTACTGTCAATCGATATTGATACTAATTCGTTTTTTCTTTTTATTTTATTTTCCGACAGTCCTATCTCTTATATTGCATGTATATACCGCCATAACTCGAAAAATTGGCTAGATCAAAATTACTTGTACGGGAAACTTATGGTGCAGATCGATGCCATTCAACCAATCACTCAAGTGGTAATCCCTGGACGGAGATAGCCAATTTTTCGAGTTTTGGCGGTATTGCCAGTGCACCCTGGCGTCACACACGTATGCATGTAGAACAACTGCTTTTTGATATGTAGCTGCCAACCCTTACCCAACTACATTTCCTGATCCCCCCACTACATGTAGCTTAGCTGCATCGCTAAACTAGCTTCCCAGGCTCGACAACTCCTCCTCCACCCCGCGTCTTTTGTCTGGCATTATCTTCAGCGGTACGGTAGAAAGAAAGAAAATTTAATCGGTTTACGTCTCACGTGTACATCACTACTTCTAGAGAGTTAAAGTACTAGTGTTATTAAGTAGAATCCAGAACCGACCAATTTACACTTTCGCGGTTCGAACGGGTGTGGACCACGTATACGTATATACGTCCTGTCAGTAATTCAAGGGCAATCAAGTGCTTATATGCTTTCCCAAGTTACTCTTTGTCCCCTCTAGAACGAAGCTTTTCCCTTACTTCCACCTTTTGAGGTTGAGCCTCCCTCGAGTCTGATGCCCCCCCACCCGTACCCAGTCACCCCCCCCCTCCTCGCGCCTCGTCATGAGTTGACTGAATCTAGGTTTACCATAATGGCCGCACGAGACGAGCACGAATATCTCTGGTTGAGTAAAGGAGTTATCACAGACATAGAAAAAGAATTGAACCCTGGAGGTCTTGCGTTTCACCCGCCAACTTCGTGGTCTTGCCCCCAGCTCTACCGTGCCCTCAAGACAGCTTATAAAAATAAGCATCCTCTAGCGGCACACGAACCACAGTATAAGGGACGCGCCCAGGAAATTGCGACAACGGAGCTCAACAAAATCTTGGAGGAGAGATTGAAGAGGCCCATGAACAACGACCCAATGGACAATTGGAGAGAGGCCAGGCCCATAGACGAGCCTTTTAATCCCACACTCATCGGCAGCAATATAAATGTTGGACGTCCGCCACCGGCACCGTACAAGAGGCATAATAGTCCACCTGCGACGACACCTGCGACGACGCTGCCTACATTGCCCTCGCAATCGCAATACACAGCAGCAAGCTCAAGCACTAGTGTTAGCACCGGCCGAGGTACAGGAACTACAGTAAATGGCAATAATGGTGGGCCCCTCCTTCATCAGAGGAATACGAACAGCCCAGGCCCATCGCCCGGAAGAGGGGCAGTTTCGATTAATGGGAACTTTCGTTCGCGTAGAGGCCGCGGCCCAGGCCACCGCTCAGGTCAGCCCCGCGCCGGTGCTCACCCTTGCCTCTTTGAAGGATGTGGGAAAAGCTTCCAGTACCCTTCGAAGCTGAAGTGAGTACATAACTCTGGCTAGTAAAATATGATGATTATGAAATGGAAGTATGCGTTCTAACGTCAATATTTCAATCATAGAGACCATGAACACACGCATTTACCCGCAAAGGACTTTGCCTGTAGGCTTGGATCATGTACAAAAAGCTTCAAGAGGATGCGCGAACTCAAGGCGCACGAGAAGATCACTCATCCAGGCCATCCATCAGAATCGGGGTCGGAGCCTAGGGATATGGAGATGGCTGATGCTGGGGAGGTAGAGCTTGTGGAAGATCAGAAGAAATTGTCAGGGCGCCGAGATGAGGATAATAAGGTTGAGATTGAGGGCGAATATAAGAAGGAGTCGCCGTCTCTAGAGCTACGTGAGCCCTCAGATAAGATCTCCGAAGCCGAAGTTGCGAGCCCAACACCTTCACCTCCCACGCCCAATGCTCGCGGAACAGCTACCCCGGAGCCTGAGCGGCATCCCTCCCCGGAGCCTGAACGGCTTCCCCCACTGGAGCCTAAACAACGTCCTTCCCAACCTCCAGTCCGTCTACCACCTCCCGATCCTAGCCCTACCGATCCTAACCCGAAACTGCCTGTTATGCCTACTAGGCCCGATGATACGGGTCTCGACAACAGCAAGAAGAGCATATCCCCACCACCAAACGGAAGGTAAGTCCATGCATTCTTGATCTACTCAATTCTAACCTTGAGTCTGATGTATTTCGTCGCAGTGCATCATCTCAAAGGCTCAATTCTGAGGCCCACATTACGAAGTTGGCAATTAATTTACTATCGTCCCCATCGTGACTTGGTTGGCCGAAAACTTGGCTCTTTTCTAGGTTGATATGCCCCCTCCACCGCGCGCTGAGAAAGCATTCAAAACTGATATTGCTTAACGGGTTATCCTTAGTTGCAACACGCTTCGAAATGAAAAAATTAATTTTTTCTCATGTAAACTTTCCTCCTCCACAAATCTTGAATATAAATATTGTATCCCTTTTTTCACCGTTTTTTTCAGTCATGTTTTTCGTACTCGCTTTTGTTTCTCTTTTGTTTATTTTTTGTGTTACATACATGTAACGAGTCTTCTTGAGCGCGCATAAAATTTGACAGTACACATGAAGCGCCTAATAAAACTAGGGTCCGGCCATCGTCATGGTATGTATATATACACTGAGATTATGACCTAACATGCATGGGTTGAATTCTTCTCACCGCGAATTCAAACACACGATCTTGGTCTGTTAGGTTGAGCCAACACCCACGTCTTCCATCAAAATCATGCGTTGCAAGCCTAGCTAGCTAGTCAACTAACTACGGCTTCCTAGTTTCTTCTTCTCAGCCCGTACAGCCAGCCTAGCGTGCTAATAGTGGGTTCTATTTATTAATCTCTCAGTGCACGCGAAGATCTCCAACACAGAGAGGCTGAGTGGAACCTGTATGTACGTACGGGGAGACTAACGAGGCTGTGGTTGTCAAGCAGCCGCGATGGGTTGTCCAAGCCCCACAACCCGTCCACTCATGAGCCATTGCCAACAGCGTCAGCCCCATTGAACCCTCTCAAATTGGACGATAGCCTCGTGAGCAATTAGATTGAGACATCTAATGCTTCGCCCGATCATATGTTCACATAAACTGAGTCCTGTGTATATGTACATTTGTTCAAGCCTTGTTCGATGGGTTTAATTTTGGTGATCATGATTCATGCAACGGGCGGTTGATACGAACAAGGCAACCACTATGACCCAATCGATGACTGTTCGCGAACACACGAACACACACACCCCAACATACGAACTCGATAGCTTCGAAGAAATATGTCTAGGTAGACACAACTAGCGTTTAGGCTCCCAGCACATAAAGTCTGCCCAGCCCAATCCTCGGGGCCTTCTAACAATTTCCAAAAGCTTAAATCAACCGAGTGCTGCAGCGACGGATGATCTAGTAAGCTTCAAGGCAACAAGCGTACATACACTACAGCTATATCATACTAGCAGCTATCTAGCGAGGCGACACAGACAGTCAGGTCAGGACCAATCTCACTAAAGGATATCACCCCAACCCAACCCACCTTAAATAGTAGTATGACCCTTATATTTGCCACCTCCAAGATTCAAGGAGAGAGAGAGAGAGAAAATAACAGTAATACTAACTCAATGTTGGTCGAGTAGAACAAAGTCAATCGGTGCTTCAATATCTATCCATCTCTCTAAGCTAAAATACTCTCAACACCTTTCCGTAAAACACGTACTTCAGTATGCTCTCCGAAGCTACTCGACCTCCATGGCTCTACCAGAAACATAAACTTGAGGAATTTGTTGAAAATCAGAACTGGACATTGAACATTGTTCAGCTACGATGCGACCGAAATCGTTGCCAGCTTGTCGACGACATCCTTGAGAAAATTGCCTTGAAGGAGCATCTCCAGCCCAGCGAGTTTGAGAAGGGCCTCGCAAGAAACCACCTAGCAGTCGATCTCCAGAATATCCTTCAGCGATGGTGCGGTATCGGGTTGAAGAAAACAATGGAGGGATCTGCCCTTTTGGGAGGCCCACCAACCCCTCCCACTAACCGATGGGCTCCTCCTCTGAACATGGAGAGGATCAATCCTGTGCCGAAAGTAGAAGTTACAAGTCCAGAGACAACTATATTTTCACCACCTGCAACGACATTCAATTGCATTGGAAGTGGAGACACCTACCAATCTCGAGCACGAGACCTATTCCCATCTTCGCAGCAACCCGCTTTGAGTTCCCGGCCGACCAAAAGACAGCTCGACGGTGTTGATCAATACGACGATATCACTAAAATGGCCAAAATAGATAGGACATCATCATTCACTTGCCCATATTATGCTCGGAACAAACACACCCCCGATCATGCAGAATGCGCAAAGAAGACCTTCCCAAACCCCCGCAAACTAAAGTAAGTGTAACTTTTCTACCCATTTTCCACATAACTACATGATATCCACCCCCGAGGTCTTGTTTTTTTTAGTATTTTAGCTAACGTACGCCAAATCTTCAGGGAGCACGTCTGGCGGTGGCTCAAACCTTTCAAGTGCGCAAACTGCGGCGAAGGTTTTGGCCGTGAGAAGACGAGAGCTATTCACTGCGAGCAGCGCAAAACCAAATGCAAGACGGCCGTATCAACATACGAGCAAAGTGCCGAGTTTCGTCGCGATCAGCAAATAGAGTCAGCAAAGAGTACTCAGGAGATGATCCGCATATTTGATGAATACGAAAAGGAAGTCAATGGTTAGTTACCTCACGGTCTTGACTGTTTTCGAGTAATAGGACAGAAGACCAGTTGAGGGGCTCACAACATGAATATAGAAGTAAATGCACAAAACCTCAACAACCAGGAGGGGAGCAGCAGCTCAGAATCAGAGGGAGGCTGCTCAAGTCCTGATAACACATCGGATAGCGAAATGGATGGTTCAGGAGATGGTTTAAAATACGTAGCGCCAGGGCACGTGGAACTAGCCGTTATGGCCGTTCGACCACGCTCAGAGAGTCTTCATCAAGCACACATTTTGCGGGAGGATTCAGACTCTACCCTCGAAGGTTTGAGCCCACAGACCCCGCAAGATTACTCCAGCCGAATACATGGACACCAACTGAGCCCAAGCTGGCAACAGGAAGGCGATCAAAACCAGTTTAGTCCGCTACACGCTCGCCGAAAAAGCGCGCCGTCGATTTATTTTACGTCAATACCTTCAAATAATTTCGTGCAGGAATCAAGTATGGGGGCTATGGAAGTACCAAAAATTACTATCACTCAACATGAACCATCTCTAAATTTTATGAGTCACAACAATAGCCCGATAGAGTTCGAGCCAGAGTTATATCAGATGCAGAATGAAATCAGTAATAGAGAACCATCATACATGACGGACCCTATGGACGAAGGACCTCAGATGACAGAAAATGATTTTTCCAACATCAGTCAGGGATTGCCATTGGGCGATAGAAGCATTCCGCAAAGAGTTGTCATACACAGTAATGGATTCGGCAGTGTTGGACCGTTTTTTGCTGGATTCAAGTTTAATTAAGTTTGGTGGTATTTCATCTCATTATTCCATGTTTTCATTTCCCATCTTTCGACTTTCGACTTTCTTTCGACTTTCTACTTTCTTTCGACTTTCTTTCGTTTTTTCGGATCATATGTACTTATGTATTTCGTGGGTCTCTCCCCTTCTTTTATGTCTATAACGTACGGCGTTTTCAAGTTGGTTATTTTGAGGCGGAATTCGTGGGAAAGCAAGGACTTTTTACCCAGTATTAAAATAAATAGTCAGATTATTACCAAAATTTCGCTTTCTCTGATTCAGGAAACTGTCTCATAAAGTCCCAGAACACCTGGTGGACGCAGGCAGATGAACTACCGGAGCGACCACTACAACTTTTCACCATATATCAGGCGTGACTATATATGTTACTAGTATTTTGGTATTTTAACCACTCCCCTGTGATTCTCACTAGGTTGTATGGGGGGTCGCCTTATAATAGAGCCCAAGGAGCGCAGAATCATAATAAATCTATAGGACTTTTTTTGTCTTGCTAACCTTGATAAAATCAAAAAATCCGATTAACCAGTAACATAACTAGCCCAAGTATCTATCTCTTTCAACGGCCAGTCACAGCTAAATTCGAAAAGGAGAAAGAAAAACTAAAGTGGGGCGATGCACGAGTGATATTTCATGACTAAGGTGACGATTCTAGGTTCACGTAGTACAATTGTCAATCAATTCCAGGTAAGTCTTATCCTAGTTATATCATTGTATCACCCTCATGTGATTAAACTTACTTCCTGATTAGTGGACAATGACTGCGGTCAACGAAGAAGGTCCATTTACCAGGGCCCGACTTTGCCTAAAGCATATCTGAAGATCTATGCTCCGATAACACCAGGTGAAGAAAGTACAGCTAGGTACCCCTCGCTGTCTATGGTATTGGGGAAAAACGAGGCTCAAATATTTTCCATCCATACGTCCGAATGAGAGGCTGGTTGCAGCCGTAGCCTTCTTCCAAAGACATTCGTTTTTCGCTTATACCCCGTCATATACTCACCCATTAATTAAGTCCTGAGAATTCTTGGTAGCAACGTCCTCACAAAATCTCTCAGGAATGAATTAACGCGCGAGTAACTTGAATCTTAATGGGTTGCTTCCGTTTCCCAGAGAAATATCATCACTATTGAGATCTGATTTCTCAAGATGTGGTCTTTGTCCTAGGCGTATGCGGAATTCTGCCGGAGACATAATATAAATGCCATAAAAGGTCGTGGCAAAGGTTGATTTCGGTTTACCAACTCCATTACATATCTACCACACTATAGCAGTTCTAAAGTAGGTTTGTATCAAATAAAGTGCATTTTGATACATTTTGCTATTGAGTTAGGGACGAACACAACCATGTTGCCGCCGTTTTCAAGTTCCTTGTTCTTCTCGGATAGATGTCTGTGGAGGCTCCTTAGTTCGTGAATCAGTGAGAAGACTCATTGACGAAAGTCTCTGTAGATCTTGATATATATGTATAACGGCCGAGAGAGGAGGGGTTCTGACGTGCCGTGTCCACATATGTGTCTACACACAAGACTATGCGCACCGTGGCTATGTAGGTACCCAGCCTGAACTACACATGATAGAACTATGATACCTAATGACGCAGGAAATCTAGATGTGAAAGATTCTTTGCGAATCTCGAACGACATTGAGGAAATGACTTGTGTCTGCAAAACCTGCCACACGCACACCCTTGAAAAGAGGGAAGGGGGGCAATCTTCGAGGATGACAGGGATGTGTGGGGATAGAGTTGTAGAGGGAATGAGTAAAGAGGTTGAAGTCTTCAAGAGCTGCGGTGACAAATATGCTTACTTCATCACATAGCATACATGTGACTATATAGCTATGGGAGTGTTTCCATTACCGGTAGTGGTGCCGGGAGAGTTAATATGTTGCTCAACCTCCGGTGAACGCAGCATAATTATCCCAGCCAACGTGGTGTTTGCGTCTTCACTCTGAGATTTATGTGTGTAACGTTGCAAGTGTTTAGGACTGCCCGCTGCTTCTCCCGTGGTCTGGACGGGTGTTTCCTTTACGGGCCCCACACTCCAGGCTAGCTACTTTCAGCTTGAAAAGCATGCCGAACTTCAACGGCAAGAAACTAAAAGCCGCGGTCTGTCAGGATGTTACGTATGCTACATCTATACTTCCATTTTTCTGTGTTATGTTCCACGATAAAGGCTTAAATTAACATCGTCCGGGAGTGACACCCTTCAGAATGCCATGTTGTGAGAAAAATGCGGGGAACACTAAACATCTCACCCGTTACACGCCAATCTCATCCCACATTTGCCAATCCTGTTCATTGCAGTTCCCGGAGCGAGGCCTCATAGAATCACAATTTGGAGTAATGCTCTCCATAAAGGTCTGCGGTCTGGAAGGATAAGGCAACCTAAACAAGCGGCTCAGAATTGAATATCCATGGGTGCATTCACACCGGAACTCCGAAAGGTATTTGGCAATGGGTCTGATATATACCCGAGAAGTACTTATGGTCAAATTATCATAGCTTTTGTGCTCGTGCCGCCATTCCGAACACTATCCATCATTCCAGCACATATAATTGGCAGTGTTGAAGATAAAGCCTTCTATAGATCCATGATATATATCATTGACTTTTAGTCAGGCAGCTAAGATATATGCACAAGAGTCTCTGAGATCATATATACAGTACTTCAATCTAGTACATAACTCTTCCGACCTGCTTTTCCCAATACTTGTTAGAACTGACCTCGATCAAGACGATAGTTCATGGCTTGTTTCTCTGGGGAGTGTCATATTTGCCATGGGTTTATTATATTCTCTTGTATCATACTGGACTGGGAGTACGTACTCATACTAGTCAAAGCTTGAACGGATATATTGCATGCAAGAAAGCCCTCAGAACCTCGGAAGACAACCAAATCCAGGGGCATATTAAGGCAAGTACATACTTCACCGTGTACATATTCAATACGCTTCCCGCTCGCTAATATTGACAACGATCAATTATATGTTGAGCTTATACCTGGCCCTAGTTCTAGGGGGAGAGTCGGATGGAGGGCGGGATGAACGGATCGGGGCTGCCTCCATCGGTATCACTGATTTGATTGGCATATATACTAGAACCTTTAAGGTCTCGAGGAGTACAAGATCCGGATCTTATTTTAAATTGATATACCGGTATTAAACGCCCATAGTGCGCCGATGGACTCGCCTATATAAACTCATACACATGTGGTTGATTTCGGCTAAGGTAAAGCCCTCAACTATCAACCAAAACGGCTACTGGCCGGTCCTCGTTTTGACGATCCCGGTATCATCCAATAACCACGTTTGTAGCTAGTATGTAACCGAGCCCTACGACGACTTCAAACCCGTCGCAGAACTCTGATTACTGAATGACATTCTGATAACGATGAATGATGGGAAAAAGTATAGGTACGATACCCCTGTTTGGGGCTGTCTTTTTTTGTTCTTGTCATTGAAGTCTTCGGTTGACGGATATAACCAACCCCCGTCATGCTCTTTTTCTTTTTCCTCCAGCTGGCCTACTAGCTACTCTGTACGGTGTACCTACAAGGCTCCATAGTTATGGCCTCTTGTCTTAGATATCCGGATATTCGTATCATAAATTTAGGTTAGACACGATCCATCGTGGTCACATAGCCCACGGCTGAATTTTTACTGGGGTTATCTTTTTTTTCCTTCTGATGAAGCAACCTTCAGTGGACTGTACTTTCTAAAGTCACATCAGACGGTAATGATCCTTCCAACATGATAGTTGTCATTGAATCAGAGTTATGTAATTTATATGATGCGGTTCCTAGCTCCCGGTTTTTCTCTAGAATATCACATCGATTCATGAGGCTGAAAGACATGAAAGCCAGATGACTCCACAGAGAGTCCACGTATGCGAAGATCTCGATGACTCATTTACAAACAGCCTCTACTGGTTGGGTCATATCTGTCGGTTTTGATATTATGATCATTGCCCTTTTGCAGGTTCTCTTGCAATTGGGCATATGTACCCAGATACACTTCCGCGGGGAGTTGAATGAATACATACGGTATGTATCTACCTTGTAGAATGTGATTGCAGTATTTTATTCGGCCTCTAAACTATGTTTACCGGTATGTAGTTACCTACTGTGCTCTACTTGCTGCGCGTGGTCAAAACTTTATCTCGCCCAATCTTGTTGATGGTGTCACGATGTAGGCAACCGATTAAAAGACCATTTCGAGAAGCCTGCCTCCTCCGTGAGAACCCTGTTGCTAGGTCTTGGCGCGCAACCTCCGGTGTGTGACGCATGCAACTCATCCAATATCGGGACTACATGTTAGTATATCCTAAGCGACTGATAGAAAGCCCACTTCTGTACTGATAATCTGGTAAGTACCTCAGGTCCAAACATTGGCATGTACTGTTGTTTGGCAGATTTTTATGGTCTTACCACAACACATAAACCTTAGGCAGTACATGCATGTGTGTCGACCAATGCCCGCAATTACATTCAAAGAAGGCTACGATATAATCTTTGCGTCCTCACTTCGCGGAAACTCGGCCGGCCCATTAGGCGTCGTGACATTTGGAGTAGGTATGTACATCGGAGAAGAGAGGCTCGAGGAGGAGGATGAGGATCCAGTCAGCCTTTAAAATTTCCTGCGGTGCTAGGATCGGATTCATCAGCAATGCACCGCTGAAGTGTCCCGGAAGCGCATTAAAGAAATATCCACATTTTTGAGCCGCATGTACCACCACAAACCACCACCGGTTCCACTACCACAGACACCATCACCCAGCAATCAATTGCCACACATGTCACGCCATCGGATAGCTTCCGAGACTATGGAACTCCCAAAAAGTAAAAAGTAGCGAGCTTGTCTAGATATCTGGATCGGCCGGTGTTGGTAACTATGCGAAAAGGTACAAACTGAACATACGTGGAGCTGGCTGTTACTGCCAAGACGACCAAGAGCCGCTGTACTATAATGTATTATTTATAGGGTTACCGAAGGCATCGGAACCCATCAACCAGCGATTATGATGAATCCATGTACGGTACTTTGCGGTTTCGGGTAGGTTTCCTTGGAACGTCGAGTTCGAGAAGATTATACATTGGGATTTATGAAAATAAGTTTAATTATTAACAAAAATCGACTGCACGTACCCGGAAACCCGTGTGACTTTTTAGGGAGCAAGGCAACAACAGTCCGCAACGTGCTGCATAGGAAGCACTCTTTTAACATTGATGATCATGATCGTTAATTCTTTGGCCCTAAAAAAATAATACCCATATGGCCATGCGTATCCCGAAGTCATTCTTTACCCCCCACTTTACCTGAAGCCTAGGACTACCCGGTAGGTCTAAAATCTACGAGCTAGCTACTTGTCCGTCAAAGAATATATGCAATCTGCTGCTTCAAGTGTCCACTCCACAATGCTTGATTTTGGGCGGCCGCCAGCAAATGCAATTTTAGCCGCTAGAGTGGATGTAGTGCGGCTCTTGTGCATCAAAAAATGACGAATTAGGTCAAGTCGCAGCCCCAGACGCGCATGGGGAAAAATTTAATTATTTAGAGCGTATCTGGTACTAGCAAGTTCGAGCGTTTCATGGGACCACGAGCCAATCAACGTAGAAGCACACCTTTTGAGGCTCTGCTACCTGCAGTCTCCCCGTGATGGAAGCCCTGCAATGCCCTCGAGCTCAAGTAGTTCTTGAACCGAGTCAAGTAATGTTAAAAAGCTTTCTTGAATCCTATCTTCAATACCTTATTCGAAATTCCCACCAACGTTCCCATGAAATCCTCCTTGAGAACTCTCGTCTTCTGGTAAAAAGGAAGATAGTTACAACCTTCGCCTTATATACTCCGAAAATAAAATTACCGTTTTGCCAGAAAGCCAGTCGCCGCTGTGACAAAAGCACACAATAATCCGAAATAGTATGCCCCCTAAATCTTCAGTTGGGAAAGGACTAACTCACCTAGATATAGCGCTTAGGTCGCCAGAATCTAGTCCTCAAATATTCCCGGAAATCTTTTATCAGTTAAAAAAACTTCTTTCAGAAAGCAATGTCTGATAACCGGGGTAGGGGAGATCAATCCAGACAAATGTTGCCTTGTATGTATACACTCATGTCTCCATATCACGTTTTGTCAAAACACCCTATAAACACGACATCTGTGTCTAAACCATGGGGCATCTTATGAATAGCAGCCCCTCAAGACCCACCATGGGAGCACATACTTCCGGTCGAGCACCCTGACCTAGCTTCCCGTCATAATGTCGAAAAGGAGACCCGTTTGCAATCTGAAATCGAAGACATAGATCACGCCTTTTCAGATTCCGCCTCCCCTGAAGCCACAATGGATCAACAGAAACCCCAAAAATGGGAACAGCTCAAGGGTTATGATAACACTTACTCCACCGGAGCCCACGACCGCTACCATTCAAAATGTGATCGCAGTAATTCACTCCAAGGACTTCACTTTAGCAACGATACCAATACAGACACGTCTTATACTTTAACACTCGGTGGTACACCCGCATCTCACTCGAGCCCTGATGAAATGACCGAATCATCAAGCACTATGGAGCAAAACTTTCCAGAAACAGTTCGAAGCAATAGTCCCCAATCAGACAATCCTGACAGTGGGCCTTCCGATCGCGGTGGAAGCTCAAGTGGTCAAGGTCTTATGGGCAATCGTCCTCGACCTTTCTCAAGGAAGTCCAAGGCCGGAATCGAGCATACTGTCACCCCTGCCCGTGCAGGTCCTGATGGTGGGTTTATTTGTAGGTTCCAGGAACGGGGAAAAGTCTGTGGACAATCATTCAAACTTCCCTCCGACATTAGGTTTGTTTGAAACCCAATCTGCGTGTTTTTGTTTTTTGTTTTTCTTTTTCTTTTTGAATTTACCTCTCATCAACATTCTTCTATAGATTCCATCTCATTGAAAACCACATGACGTTTTCCCCCTTCCAATGTGATAGATGCAAACGAGTGTACACGAGAAAATCTCTCTACACTCGCCATCTGAAGGAAGTTCCTCAGGATAATTCGACATCACGACGGACTCGTCAATGCCCTCACAGACTTGTCGAACCAGACGAATCCTATCGTATCCGAAAGAATACTTATGAAGCTCTATGGGCAATTCAACTGAGTCAAGAGCAAGTTGACAATGCGGCCAACATCATTTCTCAGTACAACGGAAAGCTTCCTGGCCGACGCAGACGTACTCAGAGCACCACTGAACATGAGATTCCCACTGCAGTTTGCGCAGATGCGTCACAGTCAGCCAGTCACTCTTCTCGGCAGTCTGAAACTGGTAAGATTCACACTTAAGCCATCTTCTATGCCATGTTCTAATTCACGGGCTTTGAAGGGTTTCCTGCTCACCAGAATCCGCCATATGTATCTCAGCCTGAGCCAGTCTATCCCCCACACATAATGAGGGTTTCCAGTGCTCCCAATCTTTACGCCCAAAACACAATTGCGGACTCAGCGGGAAGTCGTAGGCCCTCCCCTATCCCATGTTTTAGTACAGGCCCCAGCAACTCATACGAGGCGATTTCTCCCTTTCATGGCCAACAAGATCCAAATGCTCTTTCCACAGGGACAACAGGCTATGATCGACAGTATTTGAACCCTGGGGATGCACTTTACTCTTCGCAGCCAAGGGGATCTGAGTTCTATGAGGCACCTAGGGGATTCTCAACTTCATCTGACGGTATAGCTCCTCACATGATACAGAGTCGTCAAACTTCCTGGGATGATCCAGGCGTCGAATCAAGTTACGAAACTACCACTTGGTCCTCCGGAAATCGTACCGGATATCGTGAGCCTATGACATTTGAAAGCACTGGCCAGACCTCGAGTTATCAGTATTCAACTGTGAGTAGTATGTTTGGATTTGCTGGACTCGTTGGCTCCTCAGTGTCCTAATGAATGCCGAACCTCATCAGGCCCTCAATAGCGACCAAGTGCACCACACAGCTTTCAGTCAAGAGCTTAGCCCAAGAAGATGTGGTTATCAGAACGCGCGTCGTAATAACAGTCCAAAGCGGAGGGGATGAATAGTAGCTATTTCTACAGGTCTACGGAGTCGCCGGTGAATTTGGGACGGATAAAGATTTTGTTGGCCACATTGTTTAATTATGCTCAAGTTTGAATTTATGAAAAGTGGATATTTTCGATTATTTGTATATGCTAGGCAAAGGTTCAAAATGATACAATCAGAGCATAAGGTTTTTTTTCAAATTATACGCCTATGGAGAAACATTTATGCCATTATCGTTTGTTTCCAGAATCTCCATATGATTTAGTAAAGCCAGCCGGAAACTGCCGCTGTCGATGGAGTTGGCCGAAGAGATTTTAACTTTTAGCCTCTTAAACCCTCTGATAGTCAGTAGTCTCCCTTAGAGCTACTTTTCATTATAGATAGGGGGGAAAGGGGTTAGTACACGACATTAAGGAGTCGATAAGATCAGTAAAGAAACGGGGGGGGGTGTGTGTGGAGAGAGAGGTTGGTAAGGCTACATGGTCTTTCCCGCATTTCGGTCATAACGTGTTGTTCTGACGCACCCCAGAAATATATGTTACAGTTTATGTCAGTTTATGTATATATGTATGAACTTGAAATAAGTAATAATTGTAACGCAACCGCTGACTTTGACATCTAACGCCTCTGGCTACTAAGTAGCTATTATTTTCCCCCAAATATTCTGTGATGATGGCCACATATATTATATTGGATGAACGATAAACATGCAGGGCATGAAAATTTTCAGTCTGTGGCGTAGCTTAGCCAACAATGTGATACGGGAGAAGACAGGCATCCGTGAACTCATGTACGTCTGTACATGTATGTATCTAGCTGGGTACATGTACTGCGTTCGTGTGCAGGGCCGGGAATAAAGTGCACATCCCCACATCGATTATTGGAACCTTAAATAAGCGGTAATCAACCAGACACGATTGGCTTGATCCCAGAGCTGAGAGATGTAAGGGGTAAAGACATTGATGTAAATTTGTTCTGGAGCAGAGTAGCCATGAATCAGGCTGCGCATATGGCCTTACCTCTGGGAAGGGGATCTGTGAGGCCTAAATCCGTGGATCTAACACATAATCGAGGTTAGCCTTTATGCAAACCGAAATTCTGCCTACATGTAGCATGCGGTTGTGGAGTCGAAGCGCTGAAACAACACCCATGCTGAGTTCCGAAGGTCTATCCTATTGAATTTCCATCCAGCTTAATGAAATTACTTATGAATAGATCGATACATACGTATATATAAATTGATTTCGGCGCAGAAGCATCTAGACACCCCCCATGTACAAGATAGGAGTGCTGCGATGGGGTATACATATATATATGTGTTTGTATACCTTGTTTGAAACTCCTGAGATCGAGAAGGTTGTCCTAAGCATAACAAATTTATCCCTAGGGTGCCGCGTCTATTGAGACACACTTGCACAACGCCCAGGAACAACCCAAAGCTCACATATACGCTTACTTGGCCTTCTGCCGCTGCTCAATGCAAGCACACTGGACGTTTTTCTCCGTTACTGCGCGGACGGCTGGAACTTCAAGCATGGCACATGCACAGCTACGTACATGCTATGCTACACCCACGTGGCATATCTGCCCTACCGTTTAACCCTAAGTCAAGACCGGCCTCTAGCCCGCGTTCTAGCCCGCGCTTAACATATCAAATTGCAGCTGTGATTGTATGATTGGATAAACTTTATAATAACTTCATTTTGGTTCACTTCCATTAGGTTTTTACCACATCTACCTCTGAAGTCAACATGCATATTATACCAACGAAACTGAAGGACGCTAGTACTTGCAGATACTTATAGTCTCCGAAAGGTGAGCGAGAAACCACACCGTATTCCCTATGGGCCTGTTAAGGTATAGCATCATCCCACATGCCTTCGCAAGTAGACATCCTGACTCGTATCTTACCATCTTATCTTGTAGAAGCCCAGCTGCAGGCTTACAATTTTGAGCCTGCTTAATCATTATGCGAGTGATAGCCCATGATGCCAATCAACACCGTTTATAAATTCACAATTCTATTGTACGGGCACTCTGCAAACGTGTTCGTGATCAATTTATAATACTATTGATATCTAGTTAATCAGTCTTACACAAATACCTTCATATAATGATATCATCTAGTTAAGTTAGTTAGGTTTTATATATATGTAGTGGACACGACATTAAGTCCACGGACCAGATAATTGACGATATAGTCTAGATGGTTGAGTTAGATGAAATCATATATCAGTATTAGAGATATCATTGCTTATAAGTGAACATTGTTAAGTAATGTAGTTAATTCTAGAAACCTAAAGTTGGATAAAACCGCCAAAGCAAATATTGTAAGGATGGTGGGGTTGAATAGCCTAGCCACCAGAGCAGTGCTCATATCCGAGGACAGGTAGGTTTTTTTATTACGATGAACGGGTTCTACACATTATTTCATTTCTAACAAAAATATTCCAGTGGATTTGGGCCACTCTTGTCTCTTGGGGGGAAGCATTACATGCCAAATCGCTAACACTTTTGAGGAATGTCTGTACCTAAGCCTTTGAAACTAGGAGATCTATTATTCTAGTACATCTAGTAGTGAGTCAGTACTTTACTTTACCCAATGTGAAATAGTTCCATTATGACTAGCACCTTGTCTCGAGCCAGGCCCAATTCGGGTTGGGTGAATTCTGAACGTTAAGTTTAATATTTAGCCAAAGCCTGGTTTAAGACATCAATCAATCAAAAACTAGAGCATGATTACTACATGGAGTATTTAGCAGTCTCAAATAAGGTTTGAGCCTGATCAAAGTAGCCTTGACTTTCCGGCGTTTGGGACCCAGTCTCACGGATTTGAGCTTCTTATATATTTAGATATATGAGAGCGCTGTAAGTATATTAACTTATTATATGAATTGGAGCATCAAAGAGACAATTGATGCATCCGAGGGGGTTCTGAAGATGTCTATTCCTGCGACCATCTTCCTTCTCCTTTTTCATTAAGATTCGCAGGTAACCGGATCCAGGATTATCCTACGGCACGTGTTATCACGGATATCCGCCATAAGTATGACCCTTAACGCCAAGATTTCATGATAGAGCTCCTACTCATATTTTTAATTCATGGATTCAAAGAAGTTGCTAATGATATCATTACCCCTTGATTACCAAACCCTTAGACCGCAACCTGTTTATCAAGGCGAGGTGTATTCCCTGCATATTATAAAGCCCCCAACCCTCTATGCTATTTAAAAAAGCACGTGACTATGCACATCATGATGGGATCGCAATGCCCACCCTATATACATACAATATATAGAGGCAAATCGTGTAAATATGGGTGTCGATCTGGTAAAAGTCCGCATAGCAAAACTCTTGTTCCGAAGAGCCACGTAACCGATAAACCTCAAATATTCCTGAGATTCAGAGAATCTTAGTGAGGGACCCGAATGAATTTTCGGCCATTTGTTCCGTCAATTGGAGGCTGTAGAGTGTGGTAGTGAAGTGGCGAGGCTTTGTTGCATTGCCACACATGGCCCTTTTACCAGATCGACACCCATATCTACAGAGTTCCCAAATCCCCCCCTCTCCCCGAGCCTCATAGTCTTTCTCACTAACAAAGACTTGGCAGTAAGATACTTCTAATATACCGAGGCTGGCACCATTACAACCTCAATTACAATTCCGGGTTACCTTTTGACCTTGAAATATATCTATATACATTGCTTACCGCTTATATCCACTTGCCAGTGCAGAAACCTAGGAAATATGCGGGCAATTGCATGCGAGTGATATTATATGATTAACTCTGCAAAATTAACTAACCCTGCTAAACTACTGAAGAATTTCCCGCTTAAAGTTGCGTTAAAAATTGCGCGGTAATAAACTTCACTTATATATATGATCGGCAATAAGTGGCTAGATGGAGTACACGGAATCGATATCGTATTTTTAGGAGATGTTCATTAAGCTCCAGGACCAGGTTTCGTAGAATGAGCGGGTTTGTGTTCTTGAATGCAATTCGCAGTTTCACAGGCCGACTGATCAGCCTTATGTAGATCTATGAGCTAACTGAGGGGTAATACATCTTCGTCCATATAACCCAGTAGAAAAACCCCCAGTAGATGGATATCCATATTAGTAGGGCCCTAGTAAGAACGAGGATGGCTTTATCGTCAAAGCAAATTCCGCAAATCTTGATTGCGTGCATAAGATGAACTGCCGTTAAGAATGATGGTTCGGTAAAGGGATAATGTTTATACCACTTAAGAATTGAAACATACCTCACCATGAACCTTTCACTGCCACTCTTTTGGAACGTTTGTGAAACCTAGATCAACTGATCAGCTGATATCACGAAGGATCAGTACCATGCCACCAGATGGTTTTGGTCCCGGTACCTGCATGCAGCTAGTTAAAGTCAATAGAAAGACGTTAGGGTTTGCAAACTCTCTAATGCGGAGATCGGAGCGCTTTGATCAATTATAATCTCCACATCGAATGCCTTATTGCTTGACCTTACTCTGAGACAATGGTTATGAGTGAAAGGGAAGATACCGAGCCGAATTGCCGGTTAAAAGGAGATGCCAGGTGTAATGCTACTAGAACAACCCAAGACTGTTATGCCCCTCATTACTGGTGCATGCATGCATACAGTAAGTACATGTACATATCTACACGTTTCTATCAATTTGGACATTCGCTACGGTTGTACCTGGGAATACCGAAATTCTACTCCATCCGTGACTAAAATCACCGCCTTCTTAGTACTGTAAATAGTAACTCGGCACCTCAAACGAAATTTTCACATGACACGCATTTGAAAAGAAAAGAAAAAGAAAAAAACGCACAAGTGTAGTCCTGCGCTGGGGGCGATACAAGCGGCAACATCTCGATTCAACAAATC